TATACCATCCCTGACTACTTGTTCAGGGGTGGCACTGCCACATCAATCAATAATTAAGAAAATGCACCCGCAGGCTTGCCTATGTGATAGTCTTACAGAGGCATTTTCTCAATTGTAGTTCCCTCTTCTCAGGTAACTCTAAGTCGTATCATTCAAGTTGACAATAAACTAGCCAGGACATCCTTCAGCCTAGGCCTCATTCCTATAGACTAGGATTTTTATTTTGTTCAGATCTCTGCATGAAAACTTTCTGCTTTACACTCTGGATGGGATCATCCAGGGTGGGAGTAAAGGCTTAAAGTTAATATTTCTGGCTATAAGGACTTAAAATTTACCTCGAAACTAACTTATATGAAAGAAGGTGTTTACACAGATAAGTAAATAAGGGCTTCTGTTGCCAGTGGCAGAAAGAGAATATGAACTGGTTGATGGGGGAAAATCCAAACAAAAAGATCTGAGTTCCCCTAAGTGACAGGTTCAAGGACAATAGCAGCTCACCAGCTCAGCAGCCCATAGCTCTAGCCAAAGTTCTGAGATGGTGTCTCCTGATCCAGACCTAGGTGGTGGGCCATCTGGAAGCCAAGGGCTGAGGCAACAGGAAGCAACACATTGATTGGCCAGGCCTAGTCAGGTGCTCATCCCTAGAGGTTGAAGGCAGGCCAGATCCACCCAACCTATGTGGCTTGAGAGGATGGAAGTCTGTTATCAGAAGCAGGAACAGACAGTGGTCAGGCCAAACTAACACACTCCAAAATTCTCCAGACAAGCGTGCTTCTTCATTCTCCCATCTAGGTTGTGAGACATCCCAGACTAAGCCGACATTTTGGCTCTATTGCTTAGGAAAGAGCACTTGATTGCATCAACTTAGGCCACAGCCCTAGCCGAGTTACCTACAATCTCTCTCTTCTCTGTCTCTGTCTCTGTCCCTCCATCTCCCATCTAGGTTGTGAGACATCCCAGACTAAGCCGACATTTTGGCTCCATTGCTTAGGAAAGAGCACTTGATTGCATCAACTTTGGCCACAGCCCTAGTCGAGTTATCTACAATCTCTCTCTTATCTGTCTCTGTCTCTGTCCCTCCCTCCCTCTCTTCCACCCTCTCTCATTTCCTCTGTCTTTCTCTGTCTCCATTTGCCTATGTCTCTTTCTGTCTCTCTCTGTCGTCTCTCTCTGTCATCTCTCTCT